CGGTTGGTCCGTTCGGTCGAGTCGTCTAGGGGGTTGGGTGTGTGTGTGTGTGTGTGTGTGTGTGTGTGTGTGCGCGCGTGCGTGTGTGCGTGTGTGTGTGTGTGGATTCAGGGTTTGGTTTGACTTCTGTTAAAGTGAGCTGTTCGGGACGTTTAGAGCTTGACCGAGTCACCTGGTTAAATACTGCTGGTACCTGAAGGTGTAAACTTACAAAATGAAATGTGCAATGTGAAAAAAATAGGCGTAATTACGGCGTACTCCTAGCATCAAGTGTTTAAATGTGTGAGAAGTACCTGGAGATAGTCTTGGACCTGATGAGAGCCTTGGAGATGACCAGAGAGGGGGCGGACTGCCGCCGATAACTCTGAGACTTCATCCGCTAAAAACAGACAAAAACACACAATAAGCTCATGCAAATAAAAATATTATCTCACCTCTGCATGTGTGTAATGTGTGTTTGTATCTATGTGTAACAAAAGGTCATATTAACTCTGTTTACACGTCTTTCTTCGACTGTAGAGAATCAAATATTTAATTTCTGATGACCAATATTCATACAGATTGCATCAAAGGAAGATATCTCTGGAAATCAGATTTGTTTAGCTGTGCAATTTAAAATTACCATTGATTTTATTATAGCACTAAACTAAGTCTTCAATGTGCATCAATTTGGATTTTACAAAAAAGTAGTAAAAGTGCATCAGAATTTAGCTTGAAAACAATAACACGTTGTTTTTCTCCCTTAATCCCATATACATGTAAAGACCCTTATAACACGTTACAACGTTTTAATGAAAGCCTTTCCTGCAAAACTAAAAAGGCTCCAATCCCACAGAGAGCTGATCTCAGACCCTTTAATGTTGTGTTTACACTTTCCTCATGTGCAACACATCCATCACACCGCTGGGAGCGACGGTGGCCTCCAAAAGGACAGGAACGTCCGATTGAAGCAAGAGAATTTAAACACGGAGGAATGTCGCAGCATGAAGGTTAACCCGGTGACAACATAGAGCAGTCTGTACAACGTCCAGCCTCATCTGTCTCTGCCATGACTCTCCTGACCTCTCTCACACTTCCTCTGCACCGTGCACACATGTGTGAAAACTGTGACGCTCATATAGGACTGGTGGCTGCAGTGAACACATTTGAATCCAGAAATCTCATGCTAGTCATTTCAAATGAACTACTTTAACTAAAGTATGGCACATTGAGACCCTCTTTTATGTCTTGTTGATTTCATCCTAGTACCCCCTTTACCTTCAATTGAATCTCATTGTATTAGGATGTGAGTTCAAAGCTAGGTGACAGATTACATAATTGTTATTATAACGTGTGTCCGATTAACACACTCTGTGGTCACCTAATACTTATCATGATTAGTATAGTGATTTGTTAAGACAGGTAATCCACTTTTTAAGATGTACTTTGAAGCATTTTTTTCATATTTCATGTATAACTTAATTTCATTTGAACTCTTAAATACATTAAGGTGCAGACGTCCGTTGCAATATCAGCAATTAAAAGCAATAAATAACAAAAATTCAAGGCCACAAGAAACATGAGTACTAAATGTTATAATCAATTAAAAAAATTATAAAAAGTAATGCTGATTAATAAACTATAACAAGAACAACTGGAAGTAAAATAAGATTAAATAAAAATTGCGTTTGGATAAAAATGTTTTTAATTGTTCTGCATGTTGTGCCATGACGCAATTCAGGAGGATAAAGTCAAACCAATAGCCATGTGTAAGTGTTTGTCATTGTTTTTGCACTAAATAAAAACCAATGTTATTCAAATGTATCCGTAGAGGAACATGAACATTGTGATCCATGTTGTGGAGACATTTCAGTCTGAACGCATGACATTAAAGTCACTGATGTGTCCGTAAACTTTACAGAATCAAAACGCTCCACAGTGAGAAAAGATCGATCCAATCTCCACACATGTTTTGACATTTCACAGTGTAATATCATTGATTTAGCAAGGGTCACACGGTGGTGGGACATTCCTCACTCTGCAGCCACAACATATACCTGTCAGTCCTTAGAATAAACTAACATTAACTCATAGCGAGGGTTAATGTAGGGAAACACACCTACTGAAAGCATGTAAAGGATATTCATTTTTGCTAAACCAATGCACTTTAAACACCATTTTTATGATGTATCTGATTATAGTACACATTGTTCATGACTGTAATAGATTTGACTGCAATCTAAAATGATTATTATGTGTCAACAACCATCAAAACTATACTTTCTAATGTGGTTTGATTTAATTCTGATTGTGTTGCTCACAAGTGCAGTTTCATGCCTAAAATAACAAGTTGAATATTTGATTATAAGACTCTTAATAATGCACTAGAATTAAGTAACATTGTTTATGGTTTTATTTGTTATTATGTACATCATTATCCTAAGGACTATTTGACTTGTTTGAATGTCTTTATGGAGGCACATAGGACAAAGCACCCATTCATATTTCAGTTACTTTAAGGACATTTGTATTCTAATAACAACTGGTTAGCTATTGTATAGGTAAACAAATATAAAGAAGCTAATTTGTAGCCTACATGTTGTTTGGAGTTGAGCACTCATATTATACTCAAATAGATTAGGAAAAGTGCATGTTAAACCATGACTACATATTAAAATGTATTAATGACATAATGTGCACTCATATTAAACGCAAATAAATGACGAAATGCGCATGTGAACCCATGACTACATATTACCATGTGTTCGTGACATCGACATACCCGTGTGTTTTCCTGTTGCTGCTGCTGCTGCTGCGGAGACATGTCGTCCATCAGCCTCCAGACACTCACTGTCCGGCTGCCCTCAGGTGATTCAGCGGGGAAAAGAATCCCATTAATATGCTCCTTCTCCGGGAGAAACGAACCATCCCAAAATCACCGGAAACTTTTTTAGCCTGCGCGTAAAATGGAAAACGTGATCAGCGAGGAAGGGAAAATAAGTTTTAAAAAACGTCAACACATACGTATCTCCTTGTCTTTATCCTCAATGGAAGGTTGTGCTGTAACCAAAAGTACCTCCTGCTGTCTGGATTATCAGATACTTTGCCACCCCCCTAATGCGTATTTACGCACCGAATGGAGGCGGTGCCAGTACGCTGCAAAACATACGCCCGTCTATTTTTAAACCAAATTGCTCCATTCAATCTGCAGGGCGATCAGATTTACCCGAAAACAAACAAGGCAAACGAAGGTTTATTGGGTGAGAGTAGCTGTGTGCTTTGGGGATTACGTTGTATTAAGAAGTCCAACAGCAGTAAAACATTATTTATGGATCAATCTGCAAATCGTTGTTGTCTATTAGCATAAACAAGAGTAGAGTAGATTCTTCAAAAACATTGCTCAGAATCATTTTTAAGAGAAACATATTCCCCCTGTCCTAAAACAAATGCCAAACTTACATTATTATTCTTTTTAAATGATCCTTAGAACCAAATAATAGTTAAATATACTCCGGTAAAACTACATCTGCATGGCTTCTCTTGGTGTAGTGAAATAAAATAAACAAATATCAATAAAGGACGTAATGAAAATTAGACAGTAGCATGAACAAAATATAATTTTATAGACAGTTTGCAGCAAAGGCAACGGTGACCACAGTCTGTTTAACATATTGGGCATTAATACGGCAATAAGTTGACCTTGTATCTACTTTCATTTACACATATATACAGTTCAACTATATGCACAAACTAGAAGGAATCCTGGGAACTTGTTCTAGCAGAAGTTATTTGGACGGTGATCAGATTAGCTGCAGGCTGAAGCCACATTATTAGATTCAGTGTCTCTGACTGCAATGTAGGCCAAAAGGTTGTAATGTAGGACACATTCAAAACATAAACGAAGTGATTATCCTTCAATTAACTCTACAGAGAGACATCTTTGATCTGTGACGCAGATATTAATGTTCCAAAGCTGTAATTAGTTGGATAATAATAATAATCTTTATTTGAATAGCACCTTTCATACACTGAGTGCAGTCCAAAGTGCTTCACATAGACATTTCACAGAACATTGATATCAAACAGAACACAGATACAAGTAGGAGACATAAAAACAAACTTAACATTGAGTAGACATTTAGATTAAAGGTACAAGAATGAAATTGTGCATTAAAAGGAGGATAGTGCAAATTCAAAACACAAGTGACAGGTTCAAATGCATCGCAAGGCATTGAGAACGTGCAGCAGAGAACGTGCAGCAGAAAGCAGCAGTTTACTTCCTAAAAGGCTCAATTGTACAAATGTGTTTTGAGTTTTTTTTTTAAAGACTTCCACCGAGCTGGCTTCCCTGATGTCTACAGACTACAGGTATTTTGTTCCGTAGCTTTGGGGCATAGCTAATGAAAGCTGCGTCACCAAACTTCTGTTTACCACTTTTTATAATAACATTAATGTAAGACCATATCCAAGGAAAATGAAGGAAGGAAACACAAAAGGACCAAGGACTGTCGCCCCAAAATCGATGGTCCTTCTGGAGAAGTGGGCCACAAACTGGGCTAAAGCAGAACAAGGCCACAAAGTGAAGACGTGGAGTATTCATTCCCCAAATTGGCCACATCAGCCCCGTTAAAAGTGGATCACTTCAATGATTACCTTCCCTCGTGTTGGTAATGAGCAGCCTTGGGCATGGCAAAGAAAAGCAGCGCCCCCCTTCGTCGAATCCAAAACGTCCCGCTACAACACGACACGATCTTTCCACCCCTAAAGCTGAGAGTGCCATCAGTTGAAATGTCAAATGTTACAAAACAAAACACAAGTGGAGAGAGACTGTGACAATAGCTTTGAAGAGAGGCAACTTGCAAAAGAAAACGAGGCACTGGAATATTAAATGTGCATTACTAACATCATATTTATCACCCTTCTTGTTAATACTGGTATTTTATAAACACCCATATTTTAAACCTTGGGTTTTTGTTTAACACAAAGATAACACAGGTTCTTCTGTGAGGACCAGAAAGCCAGGAAGAAAGTAAATCTTGCTACGACATGTCTTTGTACATCAATACGACATGACCCAATTAACATATCTCATGTTTCAGGTTCTGATTCAGTTCACTGTAGCAGCATCTAATGTCCTTTGTATTAATAGGAGAGGAAAGACAGGTCTACAAAAGCATGGGATGTTTATATCATCTTAACCAAACAGGTTCTCTCTATGGTCACTATCATTTCTATTTGATCATATAAATCCTACTGAGAGCTAGGTGCTGACTCACCAACTCTGTCTCTACTGAAATGATGATAAGGCAGAACGTCACCATCTTTGTTTTTGGAACCAGGAGCAACTTCACCTTTTATAAGATCAGGTGCAAAGAGGCCGAACATAAAAAATATAATACATGAACCAATCCATCTTGTGGACATACTGTGTGTCTGTTTATCTACCTATTTGTTCACCAGATGCAGGACTCACTTAGGACCTAGAAGAGACGAGACACAAAACAATTTAAAAACAAATATTCTGCAACACTGAGAATCAAATTGAAAGTGGCATCGTATAAATGATTATATCAAAAAGCCTCTGAAGTGTGTGTGCAGATTATAATGGAACTGGACGGGCAGAATCAGCAAAACAAATACTCTGGTTCATCAGGGGACACGGGTCACATTTTAGCAATCACTAAATATTAATATTGATTCCAGGAAATAGAAGGACCGGCTATTCCCAATTATTACAGTTGAGTGAACTCTGCTGAATGCTTGATGCACGCAAAGCTAGGATTTCCAAATACATGCCTTAAATACAAACTGAAACATCGACTTTTAGCTTGAAACGCAAAACAAATAAACACAAAACTGCTCGAATATTCTCCTGTAGGATGGCATCTGTCACACACACTTAAAGAGACAGATGTGAGTGTGTTACTATGCAAACATGCAAGAGGAAGACATTCAATTAAATGTAATTACCTGTTATAAAACTATTCCTTAGAATCCGTGAAAACCATTTAGGTTATATTAAACTCTCCAGGTCCAGTGGAAAAACAGATTACATCGTCAAGAATAAAAGATTGCAAGGACCACTTTGTTTTTTAACTGATGACGTACGTACGTACACACACACACACACACACACACACACAGACACGCGCGCACACACACACACGCGTGCATACACACACACACACATACCATGTATACATTACTTCAGGGGACATTACATTGACTTACATGCATTTCCTGGAGACTTATCCTAACCTTATAACCAACACAGGCCTAACCCTAACCTCATGGGGACCTCCATTTTGTCCCCATAAGGGAGGCGAGTCCACACGTGACTGTGTAAACAGATTTAGGTCCCCACAAGTATAGTAATGCTAGGCCACACATACCACCCCCCCCCCACACACACATATTGTCCACATAAAGGTTGACCAATAGAGAGAATATCAGCTTTTTATGAACCATGACCATTCTTTAAAGTACTATCAAGATGTCAAATGTTTTTTTCTACAATTTAAAAGGTTGAACTGTAAAGAATCAGAGACAGCTTATTGCAAATACTCAAAAGAAAAAAAGACTCAGAAGCTTGAAAATTGAGGGTTTTTTTCTACTTATCCATTTAATAAATAAAGTTTCTTGATAGTTAAACAGATTTTGTGATAAACTGAACTCGCAGTGGCTTCTATTTCCATTTCAGAAGGAAACACATTAGGGTAAGGGGTTCAAACAGTAAGCTATATAAAGTAAATTACAGTACAAAACATATTTTATATTCAGACATTCATCCAGATCTGAACCGACCGGATCCAACTTTACAAACATATGAAAAGGGTTAAGTGTAAGGGGGTTTGACTTTAGGATTTTGGCTTATTTACAGTTAAGAAATCACAATTATTTCCAATCAAAAAGAGACAGAATTTCCCACAAATGGTTTATTACTCTTAACCATCAAATACAGGATTCCCCAAAGCTGTATAAACACTCACTCACTGTATGATTGAACATTGAGTTAGCTAAGAGTCACAGTCTGTGTTTAAAGGAAGGACCACAGAAACATCTCTCTAATGTTACACTTAAAATGTCAGCAGTCTTGTTTTCTAATGTCTTTTAAAATGCAATGATAGCAGTTAGAGATGTCCCGATCCGATCACGTGATCGGGGATCGGAGCCGATCACGTGATTTTCAAAAGATCGGAATCGGGAGAAAAAAAATCGGGAATCGGGATTTTTTTATTTAAATTTTTTTAAATACTCTTTTTTAAATTTTGTATTCAATGTTACAAAACAAAAATGACCATGTTCAAGTCTTAAAATCATCCTGAGGCCTTAGTTTTGGTTTCAAATGACACAACATCATG